CCTTATGGTAGCACGCTGACATGTTAGACCTTATGGTAGCACGCTGACTTGTTAGACCTTATGGTAGCACGCTGGCTTGTTACACCTTATGGTAGCACGCTGGCTTGTTAGACCTTATGGTAGCACGTACGCTGGCTTGTTAGACCTTATGGTAGCACGTTAGCTTGTTAGACCTTATGGTAGCACGCTGGCGTGTTAGACCTTATGGTAGCACGCTGGCTTGTTAGACCTTATGGTAGCACGCTGGCTTGTTAGACCTTATGGTAGCACGCTGGTTTGTTAGACCTTCTGGTAGCACGCTGGCTTGTTAGACCTTATGGTAGCACACTGGCTTGTTAGACCTTATGGTAACACGCTGGCTTGTTAGACCTTAAAGTAGCACGCTGGCTTGTTGGGCCTTATCGTAGCACGCTGGTTTGTCTCGTCTATCAATCTAAATGCACCTAGAGAAACACAGCAAAATCATTTCGTCCCTTCCGGACAAAACAGAGTTGTATACTGTCAATCCAGAGCAGTCTAGCTTCCTGTAATAACTGCTAACATTCTGACAGCAAAAAACATTAAAATAAGCGAAAATATATCTCCAAGCTAAAAACACAGACACTTAATGTCGATCAATGCAAGTCTGTTTTTTTTGTAGAATGTGTTTTCAATATGACAACAAGTGTGAATTTACAGACAGGATTGACAGGTTTAAGACGACAAGTACGCTTTTCGAGATAGGTTTTAATTCATGGGATATAAAATTACTCACACACCCTGGACTTGCCCAAACATTTAGATATGATAAACGACAAAAACTTTTATGTTGCTGCACTTGTAGTAACAAAACCACCTTATAAACGGAACCGGATGATTTTTTTTTAAACTTTATCCGATTTACTCAGTCTAAAACGTTAACGATTATCATTTGTTTTTCATTAACTTTAACATTGAAACATAAACGAATGCTATATATTTTATCTCATTTTTTTCAATTTTCTAAAAATATCATTTCAGGTTGTTTTTTAGCTCGAATACTACAATGCTTTTATATGAGCGCAATCCTATTTTCACGAACGTAGACACAAACGAATACTCTTACAATTAATATATCTTACTTAATATAAGTTCAGCTACAATAGATATAACTCCTCTACAATAGACTTACCGGTCCATATATATATATACCACTACGATCACTGTATAGTGAATAGAGATCACAGTAATAGACAGTCCGCTTGAATAGACAATCCGTTAATCTCTACAATACAAATACCGTTACAATAAATATACCGCCTAAATAGATGATACGTTACAATAAATATACCGCCTAAATAGATGTCACGTTACAAAAAATATACCGCCTAAATAGATGTTACGTTACAATAAATATACCGCCTAAATATATGTTACGTTACAATAATTATACCGCCTAATATATAGATGTTACGTTACAATAAAAATACGCCTAAATAGATGTCACGTTACAATAAATATACCGCCTTAATAGATGTTACGTTACAATAAATACACCGCCTAAAATACAGATGTTACGTGACAATAATTTAATCTTCCTTGTAACAAGCATTTGCATTGGCTTAACAATTTATGTTATCAGCCCATAACGTCAAAAAATGATGTCGCCGTTTGTAACGTCGCTTTTGATTGGCTGATACATCAGCGCAATAATTTCTAAGAGAAAAGAATCCATCAATACAAGTGGATTTCCACAGGGATTATGTATAGTAGATCAAATTATAAGGAATAACTTGATTATAGTTTTCATGTTATGGAGATATAACACAAAAACCCAGAGTGTACTTCAATATAAATATACCGACTAAATAGATGATACGTTGCAATAAATATACCGCCTAAATAGATTTTACGTTACAAAAAATATATCGCCTAAATAGATGATACGTTACAATAAATATACCGCCTTAATAGATGTTACGTTACAATAAATACACCGCCTAAAATATAGATGTTACGTGACAATAATTTAATCTTCCTTGTAACAAGCATTTGCATTGGCTTAACAATTTATGTTATCAGCCCATAACGTCAAAAAATGATGTCGCCGTTTGTAACGTCGCTTTTGATTGGCTGATACATCAGCGCAATAATTTCTAAGAGAAAAGAATCCATCAATACAAGTGGATTTCCACAGGGAATATGTATAGTAGATCAAATTATAAGGAATAACTTGATTATAGTTTTCATGTTATGGAGATATAACACAAAAACCCAGAGTGTACTTCAATATAAATATACCGCCTAAATAGATGATACGTTGCAATAAATATACCGCCTAAATAGATTTTACGTTACAACAAATATATCGCCTGAATAGATGATACGTTACAATAAATATACCGTCTAAATAGATGTTACGTTACAATAAATATACCGCCTAAATAGATGTTACGTTACAATAAATATACCGCCTAAATAGATGATACGTTACAATAAATATACCGCCTAAATAGATTTTACGTTCCAACAAATATATCGCCTAAATAGATGATACGTTACAATAAATAATCCGCCTAAATAGATGTTACGTGACAACAAATATACCGCCTAAATAGATGTTACGTTACAATAAATATACCGCCTAAATAGATGTTACGTTACAATAAATAATCCGCCTAAATAGATGTTACGTTACAATAAATATACCGCCTAAATAGATGTTACGTTACAATAAATATACCGCCTAAATAGATGTTACGTTACAATAAATATACCGCCTAAATAGATTTTACGTTACAACAAATATATCGCCTAAATAGATGATACGTTACAATAAATATACCGTCTAAATAGATGTTACGTTACAATAAATATACCGTCTAAATAGATGTTACGTGACAATAAATATACCGCCTAAATAGATGTTACGTGACAATAAATATACCGTCTAAATAGATGATACGTTACAATAAATATATCGCCTAAATAGATGTTACGTTACAATAAATATACCGTCTAAATAGATGTTACGTGACAATAAATATACCGCCTAAATAGATGTTACGTGACAATAAATATACCGTCTAAATAGATGATACGTTACAATAAATATATCGCCTAAATAGATGTTACGTTACAATAAATATACCGTCTAAATAGATGTTACGTTACAATAAATATACCGCCTAAATAGATGTTACGTGACAATAAATATACCGCCTAAATAGATGTTACGTGACAATAAATATACCGTCTAAATAGATGATACGTTACAATAAATATATCGCCTAAATAGATGTTACGTTACAATAAATATACCGTCTAAATAGATGTTACGTTACAATAAATATACCGCCTAAATAGATGTTACGTGACAATAAATATACCGCCTAAATAGATGTTACGTGACAATAAATATACCGTCTAAATAGATGATACGTTACAATAAATATATCGCCTAAATAGATGTTACGTTACAATAAATATACCGTCTAAATAGATGTTACGTTACAATAAATATACCGCCTAAATAGATGTTACGTGACAATAAATATGCCGCCTAAATAGGTGCTCCCCTAGAACAAATATATCGCCTAAATAGATGTTACGTTACAATAAATAATCCGCCTAAATAGATGTTACGTTACAACAAATATGTCGTCTAAATAGATGTTACGTTACAATAAATATACCGCCTAAATAGATAATACGTTACAATAAATATACCGCCTTAATAGATGATACGTTACAATAAATATACCGCCTTAATAGATGCTCCGCTACAACAAATATACTATTACAGTAATGTACTGCAGAATCGATTTGATGGTCCAAGAAATATATTACTCAATAAATATACCACTTCAAATATAACACCGCTAAAATAGATATACCGTAACAATGCATATACCGCTATTACATTGTATACTGTATATATGTCGCTACTATAAGCACACTGATATAATAGATATACCATTACACTTATTATGTTATTGTTATAAATAAACAACTTAGATAAATATACTGCTATCATAAATATACTGTTGCAATATTCCANCCCAAAAATTTTTTTTTTTTTTTTTTTTTTTTTTTTTTTTTATAGACATATTATGAACACGGCAAATTACAATAACACGGGCCGATGTAACACTGAAAGTCCTCTGACGATATATACACGCTTACATAGAGATGAAACCACACAGGGTTACCCTTACAATCTTGCCTATTATCTGATACAAGTATTTGATGTTTTAAAGTTTGCCCATTCTCTCACTGCGCTGTCTTTATTAATATATTCATGCTAGTAACCTGAAAAAGATTTAGTTTTTTTTAAAGAATTTGAATTTGAAATCACAATTGACATTACCGGAAATACACTTTTGTACCTGTCCTTAATTCTTGCCATTTTGTATGCACATTTGTGAATTAAGGCGACCATCGAAGGAGGCACAGCAACGTGATTGCAGCAATTTTAAGAACATCTGTGTTCAGAAGGCTGGAATTATAAAAGGGTTTTATTTATTTTTTGTCTTTTAAAATAGGTTTTATCTAAAAACACACCATAACTTACAGAATCACATTCACTGTAAAGAAAACAGGTCTTTCAATCTTTTCTCTACTCTCTCTTTACCCTATTAATATGTCCTATGTTTAAGACAAACATTTCAAACCACCGGCGTTAAGGACTTACACAACCTGCCTACTGTAAAGAAACAGACCCTTTCTAGACACACCCTAACATAACAGTTGCGCCCAAGCGACCCCTGCTAATACCGTCATCACACATACCCGGCAACGACAGCAGTATGATGCAGTGAAATCAATAGATTAAATCTAGAAAACAACATTCCGCTACAGCTGGCACGGTGTGGGCGGTTTATTCCTCCCTATTCACGTATCACAGTGCTGACTGTGCCCGTATACTTGTTTATCTTTTTAGAGGCTATATACAACGCCTTAGGCTCGTTACTGGTCAGTTGGTAAAGAAAACGACAGTGACGCTGACTGTTATTGCCGTCTGTTAAGAGTTATGCACTAACCTTCATCCATTGACAAGCCTGGCTGGCAACCCGTCGTAGCTCTTGAAGCTTCAGTCTCTACGACCTGTAATTAAAACCAAGATTTACATTGTCTTATTTCAATCAAATATGTCACTGAAATACAAAAATCGCGACAAAAACAATTTTGTATCACTCAACTTGTAATCTACTGACGGTCGTACCTTGTTTTCATTGTAATCTACTGACGGTTGTACCTTGTTTTCATTGTAATCTACTGACGGTCGTACCTTGTTTAAATCGTAATCTACTGACGGTCGTACATTGTTTCCTTGTAATCTACTGACGGTCGTACCTTGTTTTCATTGTAATCTACTGACGGTCGTACCTTGTTTTCATTCTAATCTACTGACGGTTGTATCTTGTTTTCATCGTAATCTACTGACGGTTCTACCTTGTTTTCCCCCTCCCCCCCTGACGGTCGTACATTGTTTACATTGTAATCTACTGACGGTCGTACCTGGTTTACATTTTAATTTACTGACGGTCGCATCTTGTTTACATTGTAATCTACTGATAGTCGCACGTTTTTTTAAATTGTAATCTACTGACGGTCGTACATGGTTTACATTGTAATCTACTGACGGTCGTACCTGGTTTACATTTTAATTTACTGACGGTCGCATCTTGTTTACATTGTAATCTACTGATAGTCGTACGTTTTTTTAAATTGTAATCTACTGACGGTCGTACATGGTTTACATTGTAATCTACTGACGGTCGTACCTTATTTACATTGTAATCTACTGACGGTTGTACCTTGTTTTCATTGTAATCTACTGACGGTCGTACATTGTTTACATTGTAATCTACTGACGGTCGTACCTTGTTTACATTGTAATCTACTGACGGTTGTACCTTGTTTTCATTGTAATCTACTGACGGTCGTACCTTGTTTACATTGTAATCTACTGACGGTCGTACATTGTTTTCATTGTAATCTACTGACGGTTGTACCTTGTTTTCATTGTAATCTACTGACGGTCGTACATTGTTTACATTGTAATCTACTGACGGTCGTACCTTGTTTACATTGTAATCTACTGACGGTCGTACCTTGTTTTCATTGTAATCTACTGACGGTCGTACCTTGTTTTCATTGTAATCTACTGACGGTCGTACCTTGTTTACATTGTAATCTACTGACGGTCGTACCTTGTTTTCATTGTAATCTACTGACGGTTGTACCTTGTTTTCATTGTAATCTACTGACGGTCGTACCTTGTTTACATTGTAATCTACTGACGGTCGTACCTTGTTTTCATTGTAATCTACTGACGGTCGTACCTTGTTTTCATTGTAATCTACTGACGGTCGTACCTTGTTTTCATTGTAATCTACTGACGGTCGTACCTTGTTTTCATTGTAATCTACTGACGGTCGTACCTTGTTTTCATTGTAATCTACTGACGGTCGTACCTTGTTTTCATTGTAATCTACTGACGGTCGTACCTTGTTTTCATTGTAATCTACTGACGGTTGTACCTTGTTTTCATTGTAATCTACTGACGGTCGTACCTTGTTTACATCGTAATCTACTGACGGTCGTACATTGTTTTCATTGTAATCTACTGACGGTCGTACCTTGTTTACATTGTAATCTACTGACGGTCGTACATGGTTTACATTGTAATCTACTGACGGTCTTACCTTGTTTACATTGTAATCTACTGACGGTCATACATTGTTTTCATTGTAATCTACTGACGGTTGTACCTTGTTTTTATTGTAATCTACTGACGGTCGTACCTTGTTTAAATCGTAATCTACTGACGGTCGTACATTGTTTCCTTGTAATCTACTGACGGTCGTACCTTGTTTTCATTCTAATCTACTGACGGTTGTACCTTGTTTTCATTCTAATCTACTGACGGTTGTACCTTGTTTTCATTCTAATCTACTGACGGTCGTACCTTGTTTACATCGTAATCTACTGACGGTCGTACATTGTTTCCTTGTAATCTACTGACGGTCGTACCTTGTTTGCATCGTAATCTACTGACGGTCGTACATTGTTTTCATTTTAATCTACTGACGGTTGTACCTTGTTTTCATTCTAATCTACTGACGGTCGTACCTTGTTTACATTGTAATCTACTGACGGTCGTTCCTTGTTTTCATTGTAATCTACTGACGGTCGTACATGGTTTACATTGTAATCTACTGACGGTTGTACCTTGTTTTTATTGTAATCTACTGACGGTCGTACCTTGTTTAAATCGTAATCTACTGACGGTCGTACATTGTTTCCTTGTAATCTACTGACGGTCGTACCTTGTTTAAATCGTAATCTACTGACGGTCGTACATTGTTTCCTTGTAATCTACTGACGGTCGTACCTTGTTTAAATCGTAATCTACTGACGGTCGTACATTGTTTCCTTGTAATCTACTGACGGTCGTACCTTGTTTTCATTGTAATCTACTGACGGTTGTACCTTGTTTTCATTGTAATCTACTGAAGGTAGTACATTGTTTACATTGTAATCTACTGACGGTCGTACCTTGTTTACATTGTAATCTATTGACGGTCGTACCTTGTTTTCATTGTAATCTACTGACGGTCGAACCTTGTTTACATTTTAATTTACTGACGGTCGTACCTTGTTTTCATTGTAATCTATTGACGGTCGTACCTTGTTTACATTATACTATACTGACGGTCGTACCTTGTTTTCATTGTAATCTACTGACGGACGTACCTAGGTTTTCATTGTAATCTACTGACGGTCGTACCTTGTTTACATTGTATTCAATTACAGTAATTTCTGGTTTACATTGTACGAAGATGACATTTGTACCTGGTTTTCTTTGTAATTTACTGACAGTAGTACACTGTACATTGTTTGAGTTGCACTCTACAGACAGTTGTACTGTGTTTACATTGTACTCTGTTTACAGTCGTACGTTGTTTACATTGTACTCTGTTCACAGTCGTACGTTGTTTCCATTATATTCTTCTGACAGTCCTAACTTGTCTACACTATACTCTACTGACGGTTGTACCTTATTTATATTGTATTATACTGACAGTCGTACATTGTTTACATTGTACTCTACAGACAGTTGTTCGCTGCTTACATTGTACTCTACTGATAGTCGTACGTTGTTAACATTGTAATCTACTAACAGTCGAACATCGTTTACATTGTACTCTACAGACAGTCGTACGTTGTTTACATTGAACTCTATTGACAGTCGTACATTGTTTTCAATGTACTCTACAGACGGTTGTACTCTGTTTACATTGTACTCTACTGACAGAGGACATTGTTCACATTGTACTCTACTGACAGTTGTATATTGTTTACATTTTACTTTACTGACAGTTGTACATTGTTTACATTGCACTCTACTGACAGTTGTACATTGTTTACATTGCACTCTACTGACAGTCGTACAATGTTTACATTGTACTCTAAAGACAGTCGTACGTTTTTTACATTGTACTCTTAAGACAGTCGTACGTTTCTTACATTGTACGCTACAGACAGTTGTACCTTGTTTACATTATACTATACTGACAGTTGTACCTTGTTCACATTGTACTCTACTGACAGTGGTACCTTGTTCACATTGTCCTCTACTGACAGTCGTACCTTGTTCACATTGTCCTCTACTGACAGTCGTACAATGTTTCCATTGTACTCTAAAGACAGTCCTACGTTTTTTACATTGTAATCTACTAACAGTCGAACATCGTTTACATTGTACTCTACGGACAGTCGTACATTGTTTACATTGTACTCTACTGACAGTTGTACATTGCTTACATTTTACTCTACTGACGGTTGTACCTTATTTACATTGTACTATACTGACAGTTGTACCTTGTTCACATTGTACTCTACTGACAGAGTTCATTGTTCACATTGTACTCTACTGACAGTTGTATATTGTTTACATTTTACTCTACTGACAGTTGTACATTGTTTACAATGTACTCTACTGACAGTCGTACCTTGTTTACATTGTACTCTACTGACAGTCGTACATTGTTTACATTGTACTCTACTGACGGTTGTACATTGTTTACATTTTACTCTACTGACAGTCGTACATTGTTTACATTGTACTCTACTGACAGTTGCATATTGTTTACATTTTACTCTACTGACAGAGTACATTGTTCACATTGTACTCTACTGACAGTTGTATATTGTTTACATTTTACTCTACTGACAGTTGTACATTGTTTACATTGTACTCTACTGACAGTCGTACATTGTTTACATTGTACTCTACTGACAGTTGTACCTTGTTCACATTGTACTCTACTGACAGAGTACATTGTTCACATTGTACTCTACTGACAGTTGTATATTGCTTACATTTTACTCTACTGACAGAGTACATTGTTCACATTGTACTCTACTGACAGTTGTATATTGTTTACATTGTACTCTACTGACAGTTGTACCTTGTTTACATTGTACTCTACTGACAGTCGTACATTGTTTACATTGTACTCAGATGACAGCCGTATTTTGTTTAATAGGTACCCTACTAAATATTGTACCTTGATTAAATTGTAATGATATCCCCGTTACTCCAGTTTTTACAATTATCTCACCATGTAAATTAATATAACATATAAATTGATTGATGAAGATTATTAACTTAATAAAAGGAAAATATTCTTTTCGAAAATGTTTACAGTTGATACATGTAGCAGTGAACGTGTCTGCAGTAACTACATTGATTTTCTCAAATATGCTTGGAAGATCTTTTAACATGTAGGGCATGAAGCTTGGAATTATGGGATTTGCTTCGAAACTATCTTCTGTCAATTACCAGTTTGTTATGACAAATACAATTTACCTTCTATTTTTTAACCATTTTATTTACTTTTACATTTATAATAATTCTCTTTTGATTAATCTTACTTATTGATTTTTTTAGTGTAAAAATATGAGTTATCAACAAGAATTAATAAAGGAAGGGATTTATGTTATCATGGGCCCTCATCTCGTTTGAAAATTTCTGAAGAAAAGATTGATAAATATTAAATGATCAATACAGCTTTACGATGATGCGGGCGATTTGT